ATTTAGAAATTCAGAAATCCAGAAATTCAGAATTCCAGAAATTCAGAAATTCAGCAATTCAGAAATTTAGAAATTCAGAAATTTAGAAATTCAGAAATTCAGAAATTTAGAAATTCAGAAATCCAGAAATTCAGCAATCCAGAAATTCAGAAATTCCAAAATTCAGAAATTCAGAAATTCAGAAATTCAGTAATTTAGAAATTCAGAAATTCAGCAATTCAGATTTTTAGAAATTCAGAAATTCAGAAATTTAGAAATTCAGAAATCCAGAAATTCAGCAATCCAGAAATTCAGAAATTCAGAAATTCAGAAATTTAGAAATTCAGAAATTCAGCAATTCAGATTTTTAGAAATTCAGAAATTCGGAAATTCAGAAATTCAGCAATCCAGAAATTCAGAAATTCCAAAATTCAGAAATTCAGAAATTCAGAAATTCAGTAATTTAGAAATTCAGAAATTCCAAAATTCAGAAATTGAGAAACCAATTTTTCCATTAAAACTGCCTCAAAAATTTCTGAAATTTGTTAAATTTCAGAATTTCTCGGCAAACTGATATTTTTAGAGCTTTTTCTTATCAAAAAATTGCTTAAATTGACGTAAAAGTGGCTGAAAATGGGTTAAAAATGGCCAGAAATAGCTTCAAAACTCTTAAAAATGACTCAAAATGTCCACAAAATCGCCTAAAAAAAACCAAAAAAAGGGGCTGAAAATCGTCGCTATATTTTCAGTTCGATTCGATTTCTTTTCCAGAGAAACAGAACAGACAGAAGGGAATGAAATAAAAGGGGGGGGGNGTCGGATAGTTCCAGAAGTTTCTCGCCTTTTTGAACTGAAAATTTTGAACGATTTTCAAGAATTCTAGTTTTTCTGATTACTTGTCAGTGGCATTGTTTCTGGCATGATAAGGCTGAGCAATGTGACAAAATCTTCAAATTCCACATCCTTAATTTCGATTTCCGACATTGATTTTTCCTTGAATTCCGAGTTGAACAGGGTGTTGAAGTAGTCGGAGTGAATGGAGAGGAGCTGCAAACTTTTGGGGATTTATCGATTTTTGGAAATTTTTTTGAAATTTTCAAATTCCCGCCAAACCACTTACCGCTTTATTAACATGCAATTTCTTTCCCTCAACTACTAGAATTGCATCTGT